AAGGTGTTTGTTGGCGCGGGATTGAAGATGTGTTTGAGCGTAGCCAAACCACTTGCGTGGGCAATGGATGTGTAAAGCGATTTCATCCACGGTGAAAAGAAAGTTCGATGAACTGGGAACTCACTTCATCGAACACTGAGACGTAGAGTTTGGTTACATGCATGTACAAGTATGATGTAGTACCCTTGACATACCTAGCTGGGGAGCGAACGGAGGTGTATAGCATGTCGTCAAGGAATTTGGATATCAATTCAGTAGGACAACTTTACAAGCAGACATAATGTAGCGCGTGACAGGAAAACTCATAAGAGAAATTTGCCACTGCCGAATCTCTTCTCTTGAACACAACGGACGCATCAGTATAATACACACACACGATTACCATCATTCATTGTGCATGTATTTCAACGCAAAAGGGTGACGATTTGTTGTCTATATATGATGATGATAATGATGATGATATCGATGATGATGTTGATGGTTCAATCACCGTGAAGAAACTTAACATCTAATCACTAAACTGATTTGAACTAAACTTAATGAGCAAAAGAGTTAAAGCTATGCATCATTTAAATTGAAAAAAAGGCAAATTCCCTTATTCTACTTCGAACTTCAAGCTGCAGTATGATGAGCTGACGTGACGAATGACAAAGTGTAGTATAACACTATACGTGAGAATATGAATACGAGCCACCGTAGATTACTTGTTCACGCTGCTTTATTGCTAACTGTTGTGCTGCTTTGTGCTTTTGCTTTCCGTTATGACTATTTCCATTACTATTTTTCTTTTACAGCTCCATAGGCACCGGGTCTATCTCCTCTATTACTAAAATTCAACTAAATGAACCCCATTTTTCTTTTCCACTGCAATCTCCCAGTATGACGCTATGAAAGGGGGAAACTACTGGCAAACTCGTCCACAGTTTGCAGTATCACGAAGACATATCACCTCGTGCTGTAAAGCTAACGCTCAGCCACTCGACCGCTCGCCAAACGCCAAGAAAAATGAGGATTTAACGCCCCTTTTAGAACTCTTTCTCTCATATTACTCCCAATCCTCTCGGCAAGAACGTTTCGTTCAAACAGCAGCAGCAGATATCTCAACAGAATGAAAAACAAAAGACTAATGAAAACCATCTAAAGATGTTCCTGAAGATGATCCGAATAAAGAACGAAATATTGAATCAACATGATTTTTATCAGTCTTTCTGGATTCTCATATTGAGTTGCCCTGTGGAATCAACAGAGTATACCTAGTCTGCAAAGGTTCAGTTCCGTCATACAATACACTGTCCAGTTCAAAAAATTGAAAGCGCTCGCAGGCATACATTTTCGGGGAGCCGAGTTTTCAATATCGTTGCCTTAAAGCCAATTTAATAAGTGTGCACTACTCTATTCCGTTTCGCTGCGACTTCCACCAGGCAGTTTGCAAATTTTCCCCACTGCACTGTTCTTCCTTTTTCCTTACTATTGCCATGGAGGTAGAATCACATTCTACCTCCATGCTATTGCTGACTTCACGTTTTAATATTTGGGTGCTTGATAAACCCAGCCACCGCCTTGAAGGTCAGTGCAGTGGCAAATCACGAAACCACATGCTGTCACAGCGCTCGTAAAACCCTGTGGTCATCCCGCTGTTCATGTGCTTGTAATTCGGGGTCTTGAAGGCCACTGTGGGCGTGGAGCAAGGTGAGCATGTGCACTCTTATTGGCTACGTTCTGGCAGTACAGAGCCATGGCCGCTGTTTCTTTATTGGTCCATTCTGGTTTGTACACGTACCGATGGTCCGTGTGCAATCAATTTAATGTCGCTTCTATCAAGAGAGTCCGAGTAATGAGAAAACCTGCCAAAACTGAATTATAATATTGATCAGGTCTATGGAGGGTCTGACATACTTATTACTAGGGTCAAAGGGAGATTTCATATTCGCAAATCACATGTTGGTCAAATATCCACCAAAGGGTTCTGCATATACATGTACAATATATGTACTTGAATTGAGTTCAGTTCACCAAACTTATTTAGCTAGACGGAAGGCAATCTAACTTTACAGAATGCTGACTGAAAGCGGACAAACGAAACGTATGAGCATTTATTAATGAAAGAACACAAAAAATGGGGGTTGCCCACTAGCTAGCTATGCTAGCTCCATCTACTTGTCCACCGGCACACAAGTACGAACCATATGGCTTCGCCCTTGGCAGGAAATTACAACAGCTCAAATTTCTTCATCGGAATAAGTGGTCGGACATTTCAACAAGGAAAAAAACTGGCCTCCTCTCAGGCAAGAACCATTTTCTCGAAGGTAAGTAGTACGCATGGTCCATATCATAATGACCTCACGACCGTGCGGCGATTTCGCGCGTCCCAAGACTGTACACGTTGCCTCGTGCAACGCACCATATTACACCATGATGTGATTCTACCTCCATGATCACACCAACATGTGATACAACACCATGTTACACAGTAAGCCAGCTCTTAAGACGGCGAGGCTACGAACTGGGTTCGCTTTGTGGCGCAGTCTTGGAAGGCTCGTTGAAAAATGCGACACACGTTGAAAATGCGATGCCCGTTGAAAAATGCGACGCCCGTCGAAAAATGCGACGTCCGTCGAAAAATGCGACTGGCAGATATGGAACACCATGCGTACCTAAGCTGGATCGAGCTCATCTCCGACAACCACGTGTCCTCATTGCAACAGATCTGTCTGCAGAGCAAGGATCGGACTTTTAAGTTTCACCTTCGCTCTCACAACACCCAGCGATCACGATGGTACCGGTACAAGTCGTGGTCCTCTTCGCCAGCGAACATCAAGCACCATCGCGAGTTTCCAGCCTCTTGTAGGCTTGGCCTTCATATACACATATGCAAAATGCGAGGGCAGTGGGCATGGTGGAGAAGATTTGAACATTGAAACAGTCTTGTCGGGACAACAGCCACATCCTAGTTAGGCCTACATGTACAGTACTTGTTGAGAATGTGAGTAAAATAATCACACAGTGGACCTTATAATTACCCCTAGAACTCTTGCATTCGGTGAATGATGAACCCAGAGTTGAAGTCAGGCCTTGGGCAACATCCTGAACAGTAAGGCACTACTTCATGTTCCTAGCTCTATGGCAGGCCTGGGTTCATCTTTTTGATTACTCCCAGAACTGTGGGGCCCAATGTCCGCTGTGGCATTTTGAGACATGAGAAGTGCCCTGCAATTATACGGGAGAAACCCTCCGTTTGCAGTGGTTGCACTTTCTGAAGCAAATTTTCCTCTTAATTAAGGGGTTAAAACCCTATAGCTAACTATAGTATATGGAACTATCATGACTATGGCTGAGGCACAAGTACCATGAGTAGGTCTACCCCCAGAACTGTAGAGTCCAATGTCTGCTCCTCTCCCATGAGGGGAGAGGAGACTTGTCGGACCCCAGTTCTGGGGGCAGGGCACAAGTGTATTTTGTAGCATTTAACCTATATTATTGGCACAAAATGAGGTTTTTCTACTATCCTCACTTGTCATCCTACCCCCAGAACTGTGGGGTCCACCCTGCCAAGTTCCGTCTGCCCCGATGTCCGCCCTGCTGTGCGAACATGGGACCCCACAGTTCTGGGGATTCTACCATACCTGAATGATCTACACACATCTACATTCTCTGTGGCCGTACTTTACCCCCAGAACTGTGGGGTCCGACGTCCACCCACTTCCACAGCAGGGCGTACCCCCAGAACTGTGGGGTCCGACGTCCGTCCTGCTCATAGGAGCGGAACAGATGTCGGACTGCGCAGTTCTGGGGGTAAGCAGGGTGGACATTGGACCCCATGCACAGTTCTGGGGGTAGTCGTATGATGGCGTACATGTAGGTCATGTGACAACAGGTGCAGCGTATTCACGCAATGAATGTCTATGTTGATTTGGATACCAGTCCCCATATTTCCGACCACTCTCCTTCAGATGATGTATAGAGACAGGTTTATCTGTGTAATTAGTAATTTGATTTAAAATACCAAAAACACCTGAAGGAACCAGGAAATGAATATTTCTTAGAATCACGTTTTTTTGGATCTCTGTACTCTTCTTCCATGTACATGTATGAAGACTGCTTGACATCTCTTTTGAGTTACATGTATGTGAACTGAATGGTGTACTTTTTGAAACATTAAAAATTAACCAAGCATTTCTTGACAAGTGAGGGCGCTTTTGCTTTGATGCCAATCCAGGAAGACATGGTTCAGGTTGCATATTTTCGTGTTCAAATTGTGAACCCCAAATTTGCTATCTGGGAACATTTCTGTGAAAAGGATTTTTGCTGGAGTATTGCCAAATGCTTACACAGCAATAAATTGTTAAAGAAAATGAAATCTGCCATAACAGTGGCTAAAAAATCTAGACAACAGTAGTTAATTTAGAGACATTGAGATTAACATTGAGATTCAGCTCCTTGGACGACATCATAGTTCTGCTCATGAATATGCAAATATGCATTATCATAAAACCAAACAAACATCAAAGTATGGGTTATAATTGCAAAACAAACATTTTAAATGATGTTAATTGAAACCCATAGGTGCAATTTCGAGGGTTTTTAGTTAAATGAATAAAAATATTTCTTATTTGCTGATTCCTTTAAACATTGCCTACCGGTAAGCCGAGGTGAAATATTGCTAGGTGTACACGTACATGTATGCAACACAGCATGTACATGTACAATGTGCTTTTGTACATGTACAGTACATAGAGTTCCTCTACGCTTGACGTGCAGGTACCAAGGGTAATATGCATAAACTTATGAACATATTGTACCAGTTTAAAAGTGAACTCAAAGTTTTGAAAAAAGACCCTCAAAGTTCACTGGAGTGGAACTTTTTATGGAAAATGCATGTACAAGTGGAAACTACCGCATTTAAATCAAGTTGATTAAATCAGTCAACCATGCTGAAGTGCCGAAACTTTCTTGATTGGTTGCATTATTTGCCGACATGACAAAAAGAACCAATTGAACGAGAGTCACAACATGGACCCTTGATGTCCTGTCAAGGAAATTAATCTTGCAATACCAGTACATTATGGAACAGCATCGCAAAAAGTGCTGGGCTTAACTTAATATTTTGTAACCCCACCAAACCCATGTGCTTTTTGTTATCCAGCTTGGCCCAAAGGTAATCTAAGCTAGCCCCAACCAAAGAATCCTACCTCCCCCCCAGCCACCCACACATCTGTGGTGGCTCTCTGTTACTACCAGAATTAGAAGCCATGCTGGTGGCTCAAAGCTTGGGTTGCATGCATCATTGACCTACATGTATACAGTATCATGATTTGCCAAATACTCTATGCATAAATTTGCCCGTGCCATGCTCAAACTTAAGACCATGAACATGTGTGTGAGGGCTACTCCTTGGATACGTTTACAGATACGAGTACGAGAGATATCGTAGTGCCTGGTCGGCTTCATCTCTTGTAAAGGATCATAGAGAGAGGAAAAGAGGTTGGAGGTGGGAATTAACGTCCAATGTACGGTACCATTTCATTGGTTAAATTTCATGTGTTTTTATTAGGCCCTAGACATCTGGACATGGGTATTTGTGGCAAGTGTCCTGGCACTAATTAATTATGAAAGAGATTTTGTCACAAGAAAATAGTATCAGCCGTGTCTGCCACTGTACATGCATTTTTGCTTTTACATTTACTGAGTTGAAAAAGTCAGCCAGCTCCCCGTCTTTTGCCACCAGTGGATCCATCAAAGTGCAGTTCCCACCAAAGGAACCTCAGTTGCTGGAAAAGTTGCACCCTCTTTTGGTGTAGCTCAGGGCTCTTGAACTGAATTGCAGGAGAAATGTTGTGAATCCTTTGAAATTGTACAAACACTTTCCTATACACATGCATTGTAACTTAGTAGGATTATCCACCCCCAGTTGGAACTCTAACCAGCACACCAGCACAAGAGAGATGGGCTGGGAGGAAGTTCCCAACCTGTTTGTGTACCCGTTGTAATGCACAGTACACAAGAGACAAGCTCAGAATGTCCCATACTAAATGTGCATAAAACTTGCATGCACAAGATGACTCCTCACTGAAGGATTATTGTTACAACACCCCATGCTCCTACTCATAACAGATTCCCCCAAACTTGGAAGAAACTGGAATGCTCAAATGGATTTATGATTCATGTGTTACTCCAATATAGCAAAGGTCAAATGTCAGTTTGCAATGGATTTATAATACAGACAATTTTACAATAGTGCACCCCCAAGAGTTTGCAGCGCATTGGCCAATCGCAACACGCGAAATCTGTCGACCCTTTCCAAACGCGCATTGGCCAACGTATTGCAAACTCTTGGAGGAGCACTATTGTGAATCGTCCGTATTGTTCACATACATGTACATGTATAAATGTGTTGCTTGAATATTTTCAGTGATTTGCTTATGCCACAGAAACACATGTACTTGTAGTTTATAGTATACAGTAGCTAGCATGTACATGACCTACATGTACATGACCAGTAGTTGGTGTGAGGTGTCCAGAAGTTAGCAAGAACATGGACAGACATGTCCTCAAGTGGAGTCTACATGCATTGACTACTCAGAATGTTTGAAATATGACATCCCAGTATTGTTTGCTCATATTTCAGTTATGCCTCCTTGAAGTTGAAATTGTATTTTGCATTCAGAAAAGTGACATCCTGGAATGAACTTGAATTCTGGGGAGTTTAAAAACAAACCCGAAAACTGAAAAGCCGGGCCCATGTGAAGTGTGGCAGTTTCACTTGTCAGCAGATTTACTAAACTTTATGTAATGTATGCATTTTACCATATTGTTCTTGCAGCATGACTGATGACAACGGCAACCTGGCACCGTATGTGTATGTACTGTGTGTATGGCAACTGTTCGCAGACATACATGTATAGTGTACTCTAGGAATTAATCCAGGCTGCAGTCAGCACCACAGCCAGTTACCCAGTAACTGATCATCAGGAGAAAGCCTGGTAGACTCGGATCTTGGTGTGTTCAGTCTCCTACAACCTCTGAGTCAGTTTAACCATGATGGCGATGGACTTCCTCTGCTGCCTGTCAAGTTCGACGTGGAAGGAAAGGTCATGCTTATTGGCAATCGCAGGTGAGTGAAATCATCTACGGGACAATGTCAGTTGTGATGGACGGGGTACAGTACTGATGTCTTATGCTCTGACATTTATTTTCTTCAGGCTTATAGTGAGCTCAAATTGCTTGAAAATGTCAGCAAAGTGATCTCTCACTCTCTAGTTTTGGAGGCCATCGATCTCCTTGCATTTGGTTGCCCCTTTTTTGTCATATGCACGATGTCCAGTCATAAACACAGGATCTGCATTACCAGTACATGTAGCAATATCCTTTTCATTACAGACACCTGTTTGTCATTGCAATATTTCAATAAAAAATCTGTTTCTCATTTAGTTCTTCGTTGCATAGCATTGCCTTCAATTTGTAAATGAAAAAATCCCAGCCCATGTGCATGGAACTTGAAGGATCCAACTCTGTCCAGTGTAGACATCAACATTATGTTTGTACATGTGTGTGTTGGCACACGTACATGTACTGTTCATATACATGTACCTGTGCATGGTAATAATAACTTTTTCCTTTCTTTTTTGTTCATTTTCAGTACAGTTGAGGTACTTTTCCAACACACTAGATGATCCTGATGGCTCTGTGTGAACAACCTTACTTGTACTGATGTCCTCAGTTTCAAAACTCATGGTGTATTCATAGAGCACGTAAGTTGCCCACCTATCTTCTCCATCCAGGGATAGTGTTGGTCTCTGGATGCATAAGCTTACATGTCGTAATTCTTGAAAGGATTGCTAGTAGTTTTTAAATACACGTACATGTACGTGGCACAAAATGGATTATTGTTTTGAAATTTCAGTTTTGCAATACAAATGTAAGAATCACTGTACGATTATTTTCAAAATGCACAGTTTGTGTTATCCAGGAAATTGATCCACCCATTGTGTGCATTACAATTGGACAGTGAAAGAAGTTGCAAAATTGGGCAAAATGCAGAGTCTAAATATGTGTCATTATCTTTGTTTAATGTGGGCCAAACTCCATGGTGGTCACAGCACACCCAGTGGTCTAGCAATGCTGCACCCATGAACACCAACTGAGCTGCATTCATTAGATGTAATAAGTAAACCCACAAAATGGGAATATCACAATTGGGATATGTATGTACAAAACTTAACACCCAAGCATCCTTAGAAACAAACATATTGTACTCAAACTGTTGTTCATGCAAAGTGTGCAACACTTTCATGTATTATGAACATGCTTTGTCCAAAGGAGTCATTCACAGATTTCAAAGTCAGACTGTTGCTAATAAGCCATTTGCGAGTACTTAACCTTTGAACAAAATGTGGTACACTGTGCTATCTTATTTCACATAAACATAACAATTCCGATTCCCCAGACTAAAGACACTGTTGCTGTACCTCGTGATTCGGGACAAGCTTTTGCTTAGTTACATAAGAGACGCCTGGCATCAATACACTGTTCTCAATGGACGAGAAGGGCACAAAGGAACCAGTCCATTCCAGAGATGGTGGTTGCTATGCAAAAGCTTGCCCCGAATCACGAGGTATAGCAACAGGGTCTTTAGTCTGGAGACTTTGAATTGTTATGTTTATGTGAAATAAGATAGCACATGGAACTAGATTTGGCTCAAAGGTTACTCACTAATGGCTTATTAGAAATATACTTGAGGCTGAGTCAAGTTTGGCTTTCTTACTTTGTTTATGTTTCTAGATACTTTTGTCAAACCTAATTTGAGGACCTTTTGGGAAGTTCAAGCCTTAGCTTTCCTCCATCCAGCTTATTTTTTTAGTGTTCATTGTCGCATGTTTTCACAGTACTCTCTGCATTCCTTAGGTCATTCTCCAATACTGGACTTTGTCTATGTCTTAGGCTTCATACCAAAATCAGTCCCCAGTTGTAACCCTATATCATTCAAATTAAATTCAGACACTTCAGTATTTTGCTCTGTTGCATCCCTTTTGATATTCCTGTGGCATTATTACTTTTGTGCTGACAACTTCAAAGTCAGGTGGTAAACAAAAGAGATGAAGCCTGAGAAGGAGACTAATATGAGTATTGGAAAACAACTTCAGAGATCTTGCAGTGTCTGCCAACTCTGCTGAACATTGGTACAGTCTTAGGCCGTGTCCCAAACAGGCTTCCAGAGCTACGGCTAGGTCTATTGTCTTGTGCGTCTCCACGTACTTTCAATGGAGTGAAGACCTAGACCTAGCTCTAGACAACAGATTCGGATGCAGCCTACGTGTAGATATTATTGCAAAAACTTTACACAGAGAGACAGGAAGGGCCAATAACCACTGTTTCAATCCTTCCACAGTAGAGCCAAACCTGGCCTTTTTATTCTTTTTTTTAAGAAATATCAAAGCCACTCATAAATATGCACTGTGATTTGGAGTTAAGTACTTGGGAAATCAGAAAATGTGAGTTTGAATGTAATCTGACACTGTAGGCTCATCGTTACCTAAGTCCTCCGAGACCCAAATTTCATTACATGGCTGTCCAAATTACTTAGGAAGTGCCTGCAGCCATTGTCACATTCACTTGCATAATTCCAGCGTGGGGCCAGGTAATTTTGGCATAGCTTATATTGAAAATTTTCTTATTACTCAATTACTAGGGTGGAGTGAGTTCGCTGCTGAGGTGCTTTAGGACAAGGTGGACCCAGGACAAGTGTGGCTCCTTACAGAGAGAGCCTATGTGTCTGGTAAGATTGTTGCCATATTTCCATATCCAGGTTGGAGTCCTTACCAAAGAAAGAGAAGCAAAGGATGATGGGAGGCATGGCAACTGAAGACAGGTTCACAGCTGCAGTATAGAAGTGTTTGTAAATACACATGCATGTGATGGAATTCTGGGCATTTCATTTCCAGGTACGAGATGTTTCAAAATCTGAATAAGAACATGTCCAGTGTTATCATTATTAGGATTGCGTGTGTAATAAATATTTACAGCAATCTGGTGAGCCGTTGGCAGGAATGACTCATTATTGCTATATTTGGTACTGGCATCCATGTACACACATGTACCGGTACCATTGCATGTATTACTGGCAAAGCTTAATATTTCTGGTATTGAGTTTTCATTGGGCTTCATCATAGCCATGATTTACCTCAAGTAACATCAAGTCGTGTGTCATGGTTATCATATTCGTAAAACATGTAAAATGTGGAATGATGGAACACTATCGGTTCTGCGAAAGATATTAACCTTTTTGTCTTAAGTCTACCACAAAGCAGTGTGTTATAAGGATAAAAAAGAAAACTCAACAGAAATCTGAAGAAATGAACAATATTCGTCATCGGGTCAGTGCTATAGGTCATTACAGTAAAAGTACACTTTTAGAAAATACTTGCGGGGCCTGACTCTGAACAAGCAGGAAATGCATTGAATTAGTTCCCCGGGGCCAGTAGATTTAGATTTCAATACATTTTCTTGCCTGATTTCATGTTTAAAGTAGTATTTTTCAATAAGGACCTGTTAATGCAATTTTTTCAGAAAGGATGTTTTTAGCAAGCACTGACACAACGTCACGAGCCCTTTAAGACTGCCAAATACCTCATCATCTAAGTAGTGGTATTCATACGGTAAACTGATGATTATTGGGCCAAGACTGCTCGCTGGTACTCTTAAACAAGCGCACTCCATCAACGTTTCAGTGGACAGACATACACATGCGTTATCTTTGTCAGCAATGGCAAGGAAATCAGAACTAGATGCCCAGGAAGACTTCACACCTTTCTATATATGCTGAACTGATAACAATTCCCTCCAGAAATGTCTTTTAATTGTATTGGGGCCGTACAAGTAAAGATCAAAGTCCAAGATTCCTTTTGTAAATTTAGGATGTGTGGTTTGAGTATCGCCAGTCGGAAACAAACATACATGTAGCACGAGGGGATGTTGCTGTTCACTGCCCATTCTCTTACCAGTAGCTTAAACTTTGTTTCACCTTTGGTACTGGCCTCTCTATCTTCATTTCCCAACTCAAAATCACTATGAACATTGTTTAAAGTTGGGTGGTGTACACCATACTTTACACACAACGGAAATGCAGAGCTCATATGTTACTTGCTAGCTGCACTAATGGCAAGTGTTGGCGTTTGTTCTATATAGTATGATATATACGTGTGTGGTAATAAAAATAGAGAGTGGCTCTGGCCTTGCAGTGTCAGCAAGCTGACATGGCCTGGCTCAAGGATTGCCCTTTAGAAATGCATACTCAGCACATCCCCTTTTCTTTAATTAATGTTTTGAAGAGATCGTTGCTATAAACAAAGTTCCTTGCATAATACATCAATCCCAAAGAATCCAAAGGACATGTTGAGATTGAGAACGCATTTGGATCATTTCATGAAGGATAGTAGTCAGATTATAGAGTTCATGAGAAATGTTAGGAAATTTTGAAATAATACAGTTCAGTGCATTCATTCAAATAAAACAAGTACCAAGAGCTGGGACGCATTCATTCCAAATCTGTGCGAAACATTTCCACTGTTTCTGTAGACTGCATGAATAAATGTTTGGTATTTATTCATTGGTTATTATTATTGTTATAAAATATGCCTCCATAGCTTGGCTAGTAAACGTCAATTTAACACAATACACTTTGGCCACTACAGTATCTATTCTACTGAAGTATTGCTCACTACAGGGTAACTATTGTGATTTAAGTAAAACCATAGTATTGGGGCTTTTGGACTTTCCGTCCATATCTTGTGCTGTAATTATCTTTGGATTTCTCAACACTCTGTGTCACCTTAGTCTGTGGATGTGTGTTGGAAACTGAGCTATCTAGACTTTCTGGATAGTCATCGTAGTCATCTAACTGAATATGATTTGTGGTACATTGTCCGGTTTGAGATGTCGTCTGTTCCTAGTGAATATTTGCCCATTCATGTCTTGTACGATGCACGATCAAGGGTTATCACTTTTACGAATCACTTTTCCTCTTTTCCACTTTTCATGTTTTTGCAGCCATATGTGTTGTCCTACGTGAAGTGGTTGCACCTCTTTTGTGCCTTTGTCAAAGTGCTGTTTTTGTTTATGGTTATGATAAGTAATTTTCTCTGCTACTTTAGAGACTGGCTTAAGTAGCTCTTGCATTGTGGGAAGGAGAGTCTTTGTTCCTCTACTGAAGAGTAGTTGAGTGGAGGATTTGTTGGTATTTTGCATTGGTGTGTTTCGGGAGTTTAGGATAGCAAGTTGGATGTCTTGTTTATCCACTGCTGCTTTTCGTTGTTACTGTTTAGCTATCACAACCATTTTTTCAGCTTTTCCATTACTCTGAGGGTATGTCAGTGATACTCTGGTATGCTTAAACTGCCATTCTTTAGTGAACTGTTAGAATTCCTGACCAGCATGGACCGTTTTCTGACACTACTTCATCTGGTATTCCGTGTCTGGCAAAATGTCTTTTGCATAATTTCACAATCGTTTTGCTCGTGGCTGATTGAGATCTGATCGATCTCAATGTAACTGGAGTAGAAGTCTTCAAGCAGAAAATACTGCTTTCTGTTTAATTGAAAGAGATCGGTACCTACTTTTTCCATGGCCTTTTTGGTACTTCATGACTCAACAGCGGTTCTCGCTTGTTTATTGAACTCTGTTCAGCGCAAGTTTGACGTTTTTCTACAACTTCTGTAATCTGAGCAGACATTCCAGGCCAAAACAGAATGTCGCGTGCCAATCAGTTGGACTTTTCATTGCCTTGGTGGCTCTGGTGTATTTTCTCAAGGATCAATTTCCGCGTTGATTTTGGAATGACGACACGGTTTTTCTTTAATATATGATCATCTTCCAGTTTCAAGTCATCTCTATACTGCCAATACTCCTTGACTGAATCATCTACTTTTTTTGTTTTCGGGCCATCCCATTTGTATGATTCCTTTGAGGGTCTGAAATTGCTTGTCACTTTGCATTTCTCTCTCTAACTCTTCCCTAACCAGGGAGGAATGATGGGAAGGCAGTAGACCACGCTGATTGGTACTGTTGTGTCATTGGAATCATCTTCTGTTTCGTCCAGGAAGTTTCTTCTGAGACAGTCAGTTACAAGTAGATCATTACTGCATACATAGTTTACATCAACGTCGTATTTCTGTAGTTTTAGTAGCATTTTCTGGAGTCCCATGGGAGTTTGGGGAAGCGGCTTCTTGAAAATCGATTCTAGTCGCTTGTGGTCAGTTTGCACTATTCCAAAGATATATGTGTGAAATTTAGCACAGCCAAACCTAATTGCTGCAAGCTCCTTTTCTATTTGAGCCCATCGTTGCTGTGTTTCAGTGAAAGCTTTGGATGCCAAGGCTACAGGGGACATTTGTGATTGATTGTCATGTGCAGGCTGCAGTAAAACTGCTCCTGTGCCTCTATCAACACTTAGTACAAGTGGTTTTGTTGCATCATGATATGTTAACACTGGTGCTTCAGTCAGCAACTGTTTGAGGTGATCGAAACTTTTGTCGCGTTCCTCACTCCAGTTCCACATGGTTTTCTTCTCAGTTAGCTGCCTCAGGGGTGCTGTTATGCACCTATTAACATATCCCTCAATCCCCCCCCCACAATGTGAGTCAATGTGGGTCAATGGTCAGTGAGGTGGTGACGGAACAGGTGCATCGATGTGGTTTTTTGGTGCCTCGCACATGCAACCAGGGGTGGGTCATGGTGCGTCATGGTTTGTCAATACATTTCCATGTCCAAAAACATTGCATGTGTAGGGTTTGGTGTATAATTGGTTGATTTGGGCTCAATGAATTACCGGAAAGACCGTAACAAAGAAAAGAAAAATCCAGAAGGCACCCTACGTTATTTTTTTTAAAAGAAACTTGTACGGGCCCACAAACAAAGACGCACTGGACAAGTATTTATATAGAAAACAAAATACAATGGATTTAATGCAAGTGGAAATACTTGTCCTAAATGACCGCCGAATCAAAATATCTGGTTACTAATTTTTGGTCACAATATGAACACAGTGTGCATTATATCTCACAACCAGCCCGAAGTTTACATTAACAGCGATCCAGAATACAAGGCATGTGAAGGGGGCACAAACGTGTAACACTACAATTTCAACTTACAAAGAAAATCCTGGACGGTAAAAGGAATGGTTTCTCAATCAGACTATAACAATTTCATTTTTTACGGGATCAAGGTAGACTACGCCACATAATAATCACACGAAGGCAAATGCCGAGATATGAAGTTTGAACACAAAAAAAAACTAAATGAAAGTTAACACAAAGGAATTAATGTCAAGATCAAAACAAAAAGGTACTTAGTCCAATTCGCTGTGGTCCTCCCAAGAATGTTCGTTAATCGAATCCGATCCGGCGAGTGAGCAGTCAGCGAGAAAAGTGACGAAACGCGATGTATTGAAGTTCCGACGTTTCCGCAACAGACAAGCAAGGTGGTGACCAGGAACAGCGTCACTCAGGAGGAATCAGGGTTATCATGGGGGGTACATCCAGCATACGGTGGGGTCCAGCACTATACGAAAACAGCTACTGTACATGAAAACGACGACGACGACTCGGGCCAGCAATACACCAAAACAGGAACGAGGAGTGGCGAAACTTGACACTCGGCAACTGCTCCCACCATGGT